TGTCTGCAGAGTTGTTTACTTCATGCATTCTCACTCATCTTTTCTGGCTGTTGTTGTATAGCAATTTTCTACTCCCTTTAAAAAACATGTTATCCCAGAAGCCCAACCGTTGTCACTAATGGGCCTGCTGTCCTACCACTGTCACTCCATCCTGGAGCCTCTTGGCATCAGCTCTATGGCACATGGAGAAAGCTTCTGGCAGCTTCCCACAAAAGACACCCCTGTAGCCTGCCTGCTACTAAAACCTGGCCATGCAAACCCAATGCACTGCTCAAACATGAAGCCCATTGGTTATTGAAGAATGAGGTAAAGACAAGCATCTTCTGAAAGTACCACCAGATTACAAGTTTTACTCCAGCACTGAAGACCATCCTTCTCATATAAGAGGAGGGGTATTTGTAATATTTTTTATTTTTCATACAGGCTGAAAAGAGACTTTGAAAAGTGCTAGAATTGCAGGCACACTTTAGCTGTATGACCTAATTTACAACTAAATGCAGACTTGAAACTATCACTGTTCTTCATCTTGAAGACAATTTAGCCAGCTGGACTATATGTTCTTATTATTTCTCACATCTTTTTTTATCAAGATATGACTGTCAAACTGTCAAATTTAAATTCATTAAGTCATCTATAAGTCAAGACAATTCTGACTTTTCAGAAACTATTTTAGCCTCCAATCTTATCTGCCAGCTCCTTTCATACAGCCCTTAATGGTTGTCTGTCATTAGTATATTCTTTTCTTCAAGTTCTATGGGCAACTTTCTGTCCTGAGCCTAGTCCACTGTCCTCATGTTTTGATATTTCCTTTGTTTACCCATTTTTATTCTATTTATTCTTTTTCACTCTGCTTTTCACTTTCCAAATCACAGCTAACTCCTTCACAAAACTGCAACAATGAAAGGTAAAATACCTTCACCTTTTACCAATATTCCTCTTCCAGTGGAATCTGGAATTCCTTACCAGTTTAACTAAGCATGCTGTACAGTGTCCATGGGACAAGCTAGACATTTTATAATGTATATAAATATGAAAGCATAAAGCAGAAAGCCACATAACTCAGCTGGCTGGAGAACAAAAAATGGGACTGGATCTTACATCATTCAACCTGTCTGAGATAAAAGCATGATCAGGCCTGCAAAGAGTTCCTCTCTTCACCAAGAAGAAAAAGTCAAACTTTGCTTGACAATTTAGGGGATGCATACTCAATTCTCACCCCTGGCACAGGTCACTGCTTGTGATTTTTGCTTACTAGAAATCTTAAGTATCTTTGGTGTGAAATATATAATAGTAGGAAAGCAGACATTCTGTATGTCAAACATCAAAATTCAGTTTTCTAGAGAAATTATTCTGAAGTGAGGGCCATTCTGAAAGGGCCAACTCTGAAATTTATCTAATTCACAGAAGTAACTAAGAGTAAGAAAAGGCTGTTTTCTTAATCATGGCTAGCGAGAAACAATCATAAAATGTTAGTTTCTCCATTGTTTATGCCCTCAAAAAAGAAACAATCACTGTGTACCATCATCTTCAATAAAAACAGCTCATTATGAGTCAGACCTGCACACACCTAAATAGTACCAAAACTGAGTTATATACATATAAACACTACAAGTGGTAAGGAACGGAAGCAAAAAAAAAAAGCATTCTCCTTGAAAACTTAAGAAACTGATAGCCTGATTGTGATTATAATGTTTAGTCATACCTTCCATTAAAAATTTATAGAGGGGGTGTGTTTAATTTCTTTTTGCTTCTGTTCCTCACCCCTTGTGCATTTTTTTACATGTATACTCATCAACACTTGGATGGAGGGGTAGATGCCTCCTCAGCACATTCACTGAGAACACAGAGCTGGGAGGAATGGCCAACACCCTGGAGTGCTGTGCACCCTTCAGAAAGACCTCAGCAGGTTGGAGAGATGGGCAGACAGGAACCTTCTGAAATTCAGCAAAGGCAAGGGCAGGGTCCTGCACCTGGGGAGGAACAAGCCCAGGCACCAGCACAGCCTGGGGCTGACCTGCTGGGGAGCAGCTCTGCTGAGAAGGACCTGGGGGTCCTGGTGGACAACAAGCTGTCCATGAGCCAGCAGCATGTCCTGGTGGCCAAGAAATCCAATGGGATCCTGGGGGGGGCATTAGGAGGAGCATTGGCAGCAGGTGAAGGGAGGTGATCCCTCCCCTGTACTCAGCTGTGGTGAGGCCTCACCTGGAGTGCTGTGTCCAGTTCTGGGCTCCTCAGGACAAGAGAGACATGGAGCTCCTGGGGTGGGTCCAGCAGAGGGGTGTGAAGAAAATTAGGGGACTGGAGCATCTCTCTTACGAGGAAAGGCTGAGAGGGAGCTGGGCCCATTTAGCAGTGAGAAGAGATGACTGAGAGGGAACCTCATCAGTGCCTATAAGTATATGAAGGGGAGGTACCAAGAGGAGGTGAAGGGGAGGTATCAAGCCAGCCTCTTCTCAGAGATGCTGAGCAATAGGACAGAAACTGATGCCCAGGAAGTTCCACCTGAACATGAGGAAGAACTTCTTTATTGTGCAGGTGACCATGCACTGGAACAGATTGCCCAGAGAGGCTGTGGAGTCTCCTTCACTGGAGATACTCAAGAAGTGCCTGAACACAATCCTGTGCCATGTGCTCCAGGATGACCCTGCTTGAGCAGGGAGGTTGGACCAGATGAGCCACCACGGTCCCCTCCAACCTGACCCATCCTGTGATTCTGTGTAATTGAGTGCTCTTTTGTTGTATGTTATATATTTGATGTAGACATGTTCTTTATATGCTTCTAATTTTCACTTAACAGTGAAGTCAATTTCCTATTTTAAGTCTGAAAAGAGGTACAGTCAATGAAAAAAATGTTTACAAGCCTCTCAGAAATATTTATTTTACTCACATATGCAAATAATATCTAGTAGGTACTGGAAACTAGGAGATGGAAAGGAAATAATAACTTTGACATAGTTATAGAGGCATTCAGTCACTGCATGGGTAGAATCACAGGTGATGTGGCTACCACAAAACATAAATCTTGAAGATTTTTTGCCCACATATTTTTCCCACGTTTCCCACATGGCATGTTAATTCATAAAATCAAACTTGCAGTGCAACTTTCTTTAATAACTGTGCAGTTGAAATAAACTTGTATAAAAGCTAAAGGAATATGATTTCTGCATCTTATCAAATCAGCATTTGCCATATCATGCCATCTCAAGAATGAGCTGAAAGCTTCAAAGAACTGAGATTTCAGAGTTTTAAAAGACCTTATGTATAAGAAGCCAAAAGATATCAAACACAGAAAATAGTGATGGTAAAAACATTCCTACGATCACAGGATATATGCTATCACTATGTTTTTTTTCCAGATTCTAACCAGTCTAAGCTCTTTAAATATATTCTGGTCATCATGCCATCATTGCATGATAAAGTTGCTGCATATATTAAATAATTTTGTGTATAAAACATGTATAAAGCATATACAAATATCTCAAATAGAGGTGCCAAGTGGATGGTGCCAGACTCTTTCCAGCGGTGCTCAGCACCAGAACAAGGAGCAATAGCCAAAAACTAAAACACAAGAAGTTCCACTCAAGATGAGGAAGAACTTCTTTATACTAAAGGTGGCACAGCACTGGAGCAGGTTGCCCAGGGAGATCATGGAGTCTCCCTCTCATGAAACATTCAAAACCCAGCTGGATATATTCCTGTGTCACCTGCTCTGAGTGCAGGGATTTGAATGAGATGATATCCAGAGGTCCCTTCCAATCCTAGAAATTCTGTGATTCCATGAATATGTAGAGGTATGACATAGGAATTAGAATGAAAATACTGTATTGGAAGATTGAGGGTTTTGTTATATATGTGACAAATTCACAGCAAGGTCACCTATACAATACAAAATGTTATTTATAGGAATTTGAGAAATATTAATATTTAATGATTGGAAGAGCTCTTTCTTTAAGAAGGCAGGGAAGGAGAAAGGCACTAAGGCACGAAGGAAGGAAGATAAATCAGAGAAGTTATTACATGTATTTTTAAATTATTACTGTTGTTCAGGTCTTACACAATTGCTTTTGAATTCTAAAATTCATCTACACTAGATGTGTAGGGGCTTTTTCATACATAATATAAATGAGAGCATAGTTTCCCAGTGATTATCTAACACATTAGGTAGACTTAAAATAACTGTTCACTTCCAACTCCTTCTTTTTGATCAGCAGATTGCAAGCTTTCATTTCAGTCCACACTGGAACTTTTAACAGTTCCATCAGCTAATGAGTCAAAAAGCATGTCATCCATAATTCTGTATTGGTCAATCCATGTACATAAAAGAAGAAACCTCTTGATAAAAGAAAATGCCCAGTCTTTTTAGAGTCATCACAATGTACTAACAGTGCTGTCTTTTGACAGAAGGCTTGAAATATTTCCTGACCAAACACTACTCAGATTTTATCAGTGTCATAATAACAACATACTCTTTAAAACTATATGCTGATACTTTAAATGTATCAAGTGATGCTGAGTGCTCTACGCCTGTTTTATACAGATCATGCTTGAGTGAAAGAGGATTTAAAGAATATGAATATTGACAATATAATAAATATCCAATGATAATAGTTTGAATTTTATTAAAGACAAAATTTAAAAGAGAAAAAAAATTACCTTTTAACCACTTCTCTTTCATAAAGAAAGGCAGAAAAAAAAGTAATGGGGAAGAAAATATATTTAAAGCCAAATATTTAAAAATATGAAACAGAGTAGGAAGGTTGTGAGTCAAGTCTCAGGACAGATTTAACTGGAATCTGAAATCAAAGGGTATACAATGAGTCTTCAGTTCTAAATTTAAATCCCCTGGTAATATATACTAAATAAAATGCAATGCCACTTGTGAATACCATATACAGGAAATATGGAACATCAGAACAAGATGATGCAGGAAAAAAAATTATATCAATTATTAACTAATATTAAAAAGGTGATAAATTAAAACATATTTTAAACTCACTCACTTGTGACCAATCTCATGTGCAATGGTAAAAGCTGAACCTAGGCCAATGTCTTCATTAATGCTGCAGCTCCTTTCAGGCTCACACATTCCAGCCACAGAGGCCAAGCCTGAATAAACAGAAGGAGACACAAAGGGTCATGCCAAGGTGTTTCAGTCTTAAAAGCCCTAGTTATAAATGCCTGGATTCTTTTTAATAACTTCTATGCACAGAAGGAGCAGTTGGCAAAAGGTTAACTTTCTAGTCATTTGCAAAATCACTGGGGGGAATTTCACTTTGCCGGCTAGACATTAATATTTTTTGAACTGCAGTCAGTGCTGGAAAATGTCTAGACTAGGGGTTAGATTTATAAATTTTACTTCTGGTAACTTGGGACCACCTAGTAACTTGAGCCAGGAGAGGGAATTCAAGAAAGCATTTCTATTTTAACATTCTTGTGCCTGAAGAAAGCAAAATGTATCCACATTATTTTTCTAAAGAAATCTGTTTAAGTTTAGTGGGTTCATAAAAACATACAAGCAACTTTTTTAGCTATGAAAAACCTCACATGGTACGTTTAAAAAAAATTAAAAAAACAAAACTGAATGCATCAGTGAAGAGAGAGGAGACATTAATAACAAGCACGCATTTAACCATGGAAGTCTTTTCCATTTATCACCCATCATCTTCTGGCATTAAAACCTTATTGTGTTACAAGGGCTTTTAAAAACTTTCTTCAGAGAGAGAACACCACTAGCATGTACCAACTCTGGCTCTTCTGTATCTTTTTCAGCAACAGATTATTACAGAACATATTGCAATCATAATTTAGTGTCATTAGAGAAAGCTTTAAACATCAGGTTTATTTAATGTATTTCTCCCCTAGAATTTCTTATCTGAAGGAAGCAGCCAACCTTTCTTTAAAGAAGTTACCTGCTCAGTTAACTACATCACAAAAAAACACAGAAAAACAACAACAAAAAAAACCCAAATCCAAACAACCCCAAAAATAACAACAACAATGAAAAATTGAAAAAGCTTAACTTTGGCTCAGTGATGAGGGGAATGGAACAGGGAGTGGGGAAGAGAGAAAGCAAACTATTTATATAAGCAAGGACCTCAAATTATTCTATTTGGGCTACCAGTAAGGAAGTCATAACATGATAAGTGCTTCCTGCTGTGTCCACATTAGCAATTAATTTGAAGCCATAGAAGTGGATCAGCACAGTGAAGTGCTGATGTTGAAGCTCTCCACGTATCTTTTTGTGCTGGTTTGGCCATTCTGGACTATTTGAATCCTGTAGGTGAACATCACTAAATATGTGGCTTAAAGCTTCTTGAAGGGAAAAAATATTGCAGGGGTTTCATGAGAACACACCCCATGGACAATCTCAGGTCGCCTGTAGGCACATATAGACTATTTGGGGGGGTATGTGTTCCATGTTTTCTCCCAAACAAATCCAGTTCGGACAGAGCAAAACTACTCTGATAGCCAAATTGACATGTCCAAAAGCTGACAATATGTGTCTGGAGAGTTTGCAGTGTGGAACCTGCAAAAAATGCAATAATTACAGTTCACCCATGCCATTCTAATTGAAGAAATTCTGAAGACAGCATGGCAATACATATATATACAACTATCATGTTCCTCTGCAAAGTACACCATAACTGAATGATAAAGTCATCTCCATCTTCAGGTCTTATAACTGAGGACGTGCTTCAGCAAATTAGAAGACAGAGTAAAGTAACTCCAGACCATGCTTGCAGAAAGTGACAGAGATCAAGTTAAGAACTCAGTCAGTGACTCGACTTTAAAAGGACTTGTCCTTCACTGGAGCCACAGACACACTGCAAAGATGTCTGAGGTCTCTCTTTTCTAAGAGGTTCCATGAAACTTTCCCTGCTTCAGGTGTCTGGAATAGGACACAGATGTTTATGCCACATGAAATCTTTTATTTCTGTCTCTTCCTAGAATACCAATTATTCAGGTTTCTTTTGACCTTTTGAGACCTCTCAGTGACTTTTTTTCACAGACTCTTTAAGTATATGATTAACTTTAGTTATTGGATGCCAGTGTGACTTAAGCATATCAAATGCCTTGCAAAAGAGGACTACAGGGCCTTGTCTCTTCTCCAATTAAAGGCCTATAACACAGAAAAATTGTCATGGTTTTGTTGCCAAGACCCCTATAACAGTAAGCTGGAACTGATACCATATGTGACTCTTATTTTTATTTTTTTTTTAATTAAACTTTTTGTCTAATAAAATATTGCCAAATCTGTCCTCTGTTACACTGGATTCAAGTGAAGCAAAATTTGCCTTCGTGCCAGAATCTGTAGAGAAAGAACTACTATACTAATGATCTGTTTTAAAAGTATCACATAAAAATATCAAATGGTTCATGCATGAATACTTTCTCTTTCAATCTTTCTTTATTTAACACTTGCAAAGCCACTTCTTAGACATTATCTCTTCAGTTTCATCATTTCCAGTGTCAAATAAAATCAGTCACATTCAGAAATTCATCAGCATGATTTGCCTTTTACTAAAGCAAAGAATATGCTGTGGGGTTTTTTATATTTGTAGCAGGCAAAATTCCAGTACCTTTCCCCATGTAAACTACACTCCTCTGCCAGATGCATTGTGCTGACTTGCAAGAGACTTACAGAAGAAATTAACATGGATGAAGGTTATCAAATATACAGTAATACAGAGAAAGACAAAGCAAACACAATCACGAGAAAACTAGCTGAATTAGAATTTTGTCCTTAATCACCTGCAAAAAAGAGGCTTATGAAAGGATGCAAACTGGAAAAAAAAATTCTAAACAAATGTTATATTAGTCTTTGAATAATGTTTCCTTTATATGTTAAAGCACCACTGGAGGCAACAACCTATAGTTACAGGTCATCAATAGTTATTTATTGCAGTAAATAACTTCAGGTGACATATTTAGGTATGAAGAGAAAAATAGCTCTCCATCTTTAATCTAAGGTTGCCAAGTGCACTTCTCCATTGTCAAAGCACTGTTTAAAGTAGTTTTAATTATTGTATTGTTATTTATTTTCTGTCACTGTGCTATTTTTATGTAAGTCTGTGAAAAGAAAAATATGAAGCTGTACTCACTGTGTACAACACAGCAACAGTGTAAACCTCAAAGTCCATTTCTTTTGTAAAGTTTATGGGGGTTGTTTTATAACCTTCCTGAGGACTTTTACTTCTGTTTTTTTAATTAAATTATGGACTCCGGGAAATGGAAATAAACAGCACGTTCTCTTCTTTAAGAAGTAAAATTGAGTCGTCTGCTAGGTTTTATCAGAACTACAGCTGTCAGAGACGAAATACACAGCACCAGTTCACGTAATTCAAACTTCCAGCAATGTATCAAAGAAAAAATCCACCTAGATTATCTTTTATTTGTCATGTTTATAAAACTGCAAAATTTTGAAAGTACAAACTTTAAAAGATCTAATCAGTCAATAAACCAATAGCTAAGTATAAAGCAAGGAAACAGTGAATGTGAGCTGAAATTTCTTTTATAATCTTACCCAATGTTCCACAAGGCTTGTTTTTATAAGTGCAGATATCATATCTGTTAAGAAAAAAAAGTAGATAAAAGTATGTCAGTGAATCACGTTTGTAAGATACTTTGTATATTTATCACATATCTGTATCACAGTCCAAGTTGTCAGACCACAATCAGTTTAATTATGTGCAGCCAGCTGGTGTCGGCATTTTCTGCACTCTGGTGTAAACCACAAGCTGCAGCACACTCACAGCCGCTGGCCCCAGGCCAGTGGGACACCTGCCAGCAAGAAAAAAATTGTTAAAGTGGATCTTTGTAATCACCAGCTCCATAAAGCAGTCTACCATTCTGTTACGAAGTTAGAACAGCGTGGCTATAGACTGCTACTGATTCTTAAACCCTAGGTTTTACTTATTCAACATAATTGGAAGCCTCCTATGGTCTCACACTTGTCAACTAAACAATATTAAGTGTTAGTCATACTACTTAGACTTTGATTCTAATTTTAAAAACGGAACTCTTAATTGTTCTACCATTTTAAAAAACATCTTATGTCATTATGTGCCCTTCTCATTATCCTTCTATAATTATAGTGCATCTTAAGAATATATGCTAACAAACTAAAATGAAAAACATTTCTGAAAAAAGCTAAAAAAAAATTTTTAAAGGAAAACTTTTGTTGTTGTAGATACCGTCTTTCAAATACAGAAGCTAATGAGTTTTATTGTAGTTAGTACGTAAATATCTGGAGCTAGCAATGAAATTAAAACGTTTCTGTGGCATAGCTTTTAAAAGAGCAGCGGTCATGCCACAGTTAATTCATTAATTATACCTTCATATTTTGAATACACAATCCTATCATATTGTGATAATATATATATAAGTGATAAAAGGACACTCCCACAATGCTACTGATTTTCAAGGATTTGTACTGATTTCCTTGATTTCTTAAGCATACTATGCTTCAGAATAATTTCTACTCTTTAGAAAGGCAAGTGAGAAAAAATCTGAAAATATACCAGCTTTATGCTTTAATTTTAAACCCAAAGAGTTACTAAATTCAGACCACCAGACATTTTCTGTTAAAAATACCATAAGGACTGTTATCACATAGGAGTCTGATCACAAGATATATACCTTTCACTGCTAAAAGAGTTATGGTCTGTCTACAAGCCAAATCCATGGACAAAATAACAAAGCTTAAAATTTGGAACAAATCCAGTAAACTCTCTATGCATGCAGACTGCTGTGACCACATGGAATTCCTTTGATTTTTAAAGGGTACTGAGTGTGGAGCAGTTTGTGGGATTAAGCTATAATTTTGAACTTAAATGTTCATGTGCACTAATTTCATCAAGGTGGTTCAAATGTGCACTGATTTCCCATTCCTGTCAGGAGGAGGGGAAGGTAACCAAATCAGCATTCTTATAGAGAATATTCTTATTAAAAAGCATTCTTATTTCTCTTAAAATATAATCATCAAAATGTCCTTTAGTTTCAAGATTACAAAGATTCAGAGGAAAAGAAGGATTTTTACTGAACATTTCCTGCCTTTTACATAATTAAGGAACCAGGCTTCTTATTTCTGTGTTTAGGACAGTGTCTGAATCCTAATCCTATTGAAGTTCAAGCAAAATTTGCTCCTCAGAGAAAGCAGATGGCTCAGTCTTATTTAGTGAGAAAACCCTAACTAAATTCTTTAGAACATAGTTTAGAGCTGAATGGAAAAATGCTGAAATACACAGGTCTTCTGCTTTTTAATATCCAATAGCAATACGGAAAAATAATTAAAGACATACATCCTTAAGTAAAATGGATGTTTGAGAATAAGGTTCAGTTTCACACAGAACTGTGACAGGAGAGAATTATATTAAGTTCCTTGTTCCTGTTATATTTTTGAAAAACAAAGACCACAGTATTCTTCAGTTTCTGCTGCGAAGTGTGTGCTCTTCATTATGCATAAGCTAGCACTGTTAAGAAAATATGATGATAATGAAACTTAAATTTGATAATAAAACTAAGAAAAATATAACTTTATTTTCCAATACACTAATTATTTTTGCAAGAACATACCTGGGTAGTAACATGTTCTAAATATGTCATCACTAAATATTCAAATTTTATAGACAATTATTAGTTTCCTGCAAGGATATACATCCTAGATTCCAGTTTACCAGGAAAAAAAAATTCTGAACTTTTGAAAAAATTTTCAGTGTCCAATTTTCAGTGACTTACTTTACCTACATCATCTTCCAGCTCCATTTTTTCATCTTATTGCTTTCATATAAATGGTTTCTGCTTGTGATTTGTCTGAAAGATCACAGCATTCTTATGAACCAAACTGCTTGCTTCCACCATCTGCTTCTCTATATGATTTAAAATCAGACTAACTTGTATTCTTTTTGGTTTTTACACTGCTTCCTCTAACTTTATTTTGAACCTTCAAGGAATCCATTTAGTTTTCAGATTTTGGGTTCCAAATGCAGAAGACTACAGATATAATACTTGACAGACAGTAATTTTAAGCCCAGAAACCCCTGAAAATACAAATTGTCATGACTTCCCATTATATTAGATAGGTCTACTTGCTATGGGGAGAAAAAAAAGGCAACCCACAAACAAACAAAATAAAAAGCCCACACCCAAAAAAGCACTAAGATGCAGTTTGATCACCGGGAGCCTAGTAAATACTTCAGGAGTTAAATAGACCAAAAAGGGAGATTCTCAAACCAACAATTATCTCAACCAGCCATTAACGATCATGACAACAGTCACAATTATGAAAACTGCAAAAATGTTGGTTCAATTCACTGACAGATGGTGCAAGACAGACACCACACAAAAGCTGAATGAAAGAACACAGTTATATAGGTAAATAACTTGGGATAAGATGGCAGCCAGATCATTTTGAAACAGCCAAGAAAAATCTGTGCCCATCCAAGCCAAAAAAGAAGATCATATAACTCCTAATAAAGTGGGTGTAGTGCCCCTGAAATGTGACCACACTGGGGAAGTGGAATGGAAAAAAGGTAGGAGGGGAGATGGTTGATTACATGGCCATGTCTGCCCTGAAGAAATCAGAAGTCTTTTCATGAGGCAGATGGGGAAGAGGTCTGGGAGTGCTGGGCATTCCTGTGGGGCTGCTGAAGAGCGGCAGCAGACAGACAGGAAATGCTGATGAATGCATAACTGTCACTAACAACTCTGACTGACACATCAGCCAGAAGGAAACTGCATAGACAGACCATTGTCTGCTCAACAGCACGCTCAAGGACTGGAGCAGCAATACACTCCTGTCATGCCATGGATCAAACAGCAAGAGTTAGTGCACCATGCAGGGACACTTTAAGAAGAAAAAATTCTAGTCCTTTTTGGCAGGATATACAGGCACCATGCTAAAATATACTTGTACACTGTATTAAAAAGTGAAAGGGATCACACTAGACACTGAAATTCTACTATCTGCATTATCAAGCTGTTTTATAACTCTATAACAATTTTTTAAGAAACATTCCTTGCACAGATTTGGCCCATGAGAACAACTGAGCTCAAAGAACTCCCACGAAAAGTTGTGAAGATTATTAACAGGCAAAACATACAAAACTAATCAGTTTTGGAGAAGCCAGCTTAGTAGTGTGTACACAAGATCTGTGTCAGTGGTACTCAGTGCAATGAAAAAGCCACTGACATGTTTATTTAATGTATTAGTGTAGATGTAAGCTACAGACTATCTCTTCAAGAAGTCTCTCTTATCTGTAACTCTAACCTGAAGAAAAATCCATTTCCTTTGCAAATCTGATGACTGGAATGATCCTGATTATTTGAGTAGACACTTAAGTCAAACAGATAAGAAAGACAAATTCTCTGTGAATACTGTAAGCACTGCTCAAACTTGTCAGGTAAATTATCTGCAGCTATAGCCAATCCCAGGCACTTTAGGGGAATACAGCCATTTGTCTCCTGGTACACTGCAGAGAAAGAAGAAAAGATTCTTCCTTATCCCTGTTAATTGTAAGTTTTCAAGCCTAATGCATGCTGTTGTGCAACTATGTAGCTCACATAGAGTTCTATGATAGCAAATGTATTCCCACAATAAAAATAAATAAAAAATAAAGAGATATCCTTATTCACAGATTTGATTATAAGAAAGCATCACAATGATTCAATCGTTCCTCCACCCACCCTTAGCATAAAAATACAAGTAATTTATTCTAGAAGCTAGAGACTTTAAAAAATGCTCCTTAAAAGCTATTCAATCTCACATTAAGAAATGTTTAAAGCATAATTTGAGAACAATTGTCCTAGATTATCCAGTTATCTGCCTTTTCCTCCACAGCAGTCATTTGTGAGTGTTTGGAAAGAAAACAGGACAGCTCATACTGAAACCATCCCTGATAAAAGTCCCCAACTCTGTGGTTTAGGGTACTTCAGAGACAGAGATTGCATCTATAATTTAACTGATTTTTCTTTTATTGTCTTCAGCCCTTTGTTGATTCCTCTTTGTTCTGAAAAAAACAAATTGTTTCAGTGTCTGAGGGATACGGTTATGCCTTTATCAGCAAAGCTGAATCCCACTGTTTTTCAGTAGAGCTCCTTCCCTTTGAAATCACTTTAAAAATTTACTTTTAAATCAGACTACTATATGGGATTTCTCAGCATTTTACCATTATACTGTGGCCCTTCTGTCACCACCATGTGCACTCATGGGCTTATAAAACTTTCTGAAGTGTGTGGATTAGACTTCAAAAAGTTATTCACAAGTGGCATTAACAGTAGTAGATACAAAGGCAAAATTAATTATTTCTCCTTACACGTTAATGTGTATTTATAAATTCAAGGATAACATTGCACTTTCTACCAGTCTCATTACACAAATTGTCCCATTAACTGAAAAGGGTCTCTATAAAATACTATTATTACTAGCTATATGTTACTGTAAATGTCCAGTGTGCCAGAAGGGACTATTTTCATCAAATCAACTGAGATAGAAATATACCTGTTATAATGAATACTACTATTAGATACACTTCAAAGAATTTCATTTATCAACAAGAATAACCCACACA